TAATAATACTTGCTTTTGTAACATATGATAAAATGTATAATTTTATCATATATTTGTAATTATAGCATAAAGATTATATAATCTAAATTTATCTTCCTTCCATTCACCTTGCTAATTATACTGACACTATTGTCTGTATGTGTATTACGTAATGTAAACTATAGATTTTTAGTTAACTAAAGATTTTAATTAGCAATACATTGCAAATCTTGTTCTACAGAGAATAGTGTACCATCCATATAGCATCTATTTTTAAAAACATTAATTTTCACTGAAACTATAATTTCTATACTTTTCTATTAACAAATTGTACTATTATTATAGAATATTACGAATAAATTGTTAACAAATAATTATTTTATATATTTTAATTTTGATCTCAATATTCTGCATTGTAACATATTCTTTTTTATGAAATAGATAGATGTATTTATTTATTTTGTAACGATGCGCCCTTGTCAACGCATCGTCTCCTGGCTAAACACCCGCCGGATGCCGCCCGACCATCCGTCGGGCGAGGATAGGGCGCGGTGCGCCCACCTTTTTTAATTCGCTCAAAATTATCGTATGTGCGAGCGTTTGCGGCCCCGACAAACGCCGACGGGAGCCAATCTCCGCCGAATGCGAGCGCGCGTAATTCATCTGCACTGCTCCGACCGCCGCGTGGCTCGCACATAGAGATATAAGAATAGAGTGCGCGAGTCATATGCTAGCACGTAAGAGGCTGCGATATAGGAATAGAAAAAGAACGCTGCATATAGGCCCTTTCTGTCTTTGTCTACGCGTGCATGCGAAACAAAGACAGAAGGGGCCCATGCGCAGCTTTTTCTTTTTATTCTGCGCAGCTTTCTCTTTCTATTCCTATATCGCTTTTTCAGCTCGCTCGCGCACTCTATTCTTATATCTCTATGGGCTCGCACGAGGATCGGCCTCTTCACCGAATCTATCGACCCCTTTATAAAAATCGGCGCCGCGGCGAAAGAAAAAACTTCGACTCGAGACCAGCAACCGATCCGCTGCTCCCGAAGAGAAGAGACCGAATCAGAACCTCCTAGGGCGACACGCAAAACGGGGTCTAGTAATCCGTGCCTTGTCCAAGAAGTCGTGGTCGTCACCCGAACTCCCGTAGTTTGACTTCCCGGGTCGATTGAACGAGGTGAGCGCATGGCAAACGCACGTGGCGGGAAGTAAAGGAACGAACGTCGAGGAACGAACTTGAGAGACGGGACGAGGAAAAGCTGAAGGGAGGCATCGGGAGAGCAAGGAAAAGATTGGAAGAGAGGGAGAGAAGGAGTAGGTGAAGGCAAAGGGTGAATAAAAGTAAGTAAGGGAGAAGGAGGAGAGAGGCAGGATAAGGGTTTAAGATTTTCCGAAATGTATTTTTTATCTTACTCAATGTATCTTTTATCTTATTTTCCGATACACATTATAACATGTTCAACAAAAAAAATTGCAAAATTTAAATGGCTTTACGTTCGCTACACTTACGCTATCTAGAATACTCTAAGACCGCACTCGACTGTACGTCCGCACTCTTCAACAGCTAGGCGAGAAAAGATCTCGACTATCCTTGGCCGTGTCCAGCCGAACCTCCGCTAGCTAAACCGCTAGGTACCAATTGAATGTGATTCGTTCTTTCCTTTGGATCCAACCAATCACACTTAATTGCTACCTAGCGGCTTAGCTAGCGGAGGTTCGGCAAAACGCAGCCTTTGATCTATCCCGACCTCTCCTTCCAACATACGCAGCGAGCGCCTGGGCGGTCACGCGGGTCACTCCACGCACATCTGCCATCTTCTTTCTCTTTCTATCATATATGTAGCTGTCTCTCTCTTTTCCGCTCAACGGAAACTTTGGGTCCGTTCCGAATTACGCATGAAGCACGTAGACTGCATTACCGTTGCGTAGTTCTTCGGAATCGTTCCGTTTTGTCAATGCGCATAAAGCGCTTTAGTAATTCGGAACGGTTGTCTGCCCGCTTTGCGTACTAATGCGAATTGAAAAGGGATCGACGCCGTTCTAATCAATGGCTCCTGCCTCATTCGTATGAATGTTAGCCGACGACTGACACTTTTTTAAAAAATTAGTGACATGTTTAAAAAAAATGTGAAATCGATTATATTTCGTTTGTAGATTATTGTAGTGCATTTATTTTGGTTTGTTAATTTATAATTAATTATTTAATTATAGACCATGAAACTAGCCGACATATATTATAAAATTAAAAAATTTGGACATTACTTCCTCACAATTTTCAAGTATGCAAATTATAAATTTGCACGTTACTTAATCAACATTTTATCTCGCTCATAAAGCTTCCTTTTATGAGGAAGCCTATTTTTTTATGTATAATTAGTAGATATTTATTAATTTGGCTTCTTCATAGAGGAAGTTTTATAAGCGAAATAAAATGTTGATTAAGGACGTTCTCCGGTCCTTATACTAGAGAAAATCGATTTTCTTAGAATTTTCTTAAAACTGTGAATATACGTTAATTTAGGTGTGCTTTATGCGTGGTATAAATTTCAGTACCTCTTCCGGGATAAAAAATAAAGATACTGAGCCTCAAAGTTTCAAAAAAAAAAATTTTTTAATTTAATTTTTTTTAGTTTTGGCATTTTTTCGTTATAGAACTCGACAAGAGGAGCAACTTTGGTTCTTTTGGCCAACCTCGAATCTTTTACCGTTTGGCCTGGAAATCCTTTTTATTAGTAAAAGTTGAAACTTTGAGGCTCAGTATCTTTATTTTTTATCCCGAAAGAGGTACTGAAATTTATACCACGCATAAAGCACACCTAAATTAACGTATCTTCACAGTTTCAAGAAAATCTTAAGAAAATCGATTTTCTTTAGTATAAGGACCGGAGAACGTCCTTAAGCAACGTGCAAATTTATAATTTGCATACTTGAAAATTGTTAGGAAGTAATGTTTAAATTTATAATTTGTACACTTAAATATTATGAAGAAGCAATGTGCAAGTTTCTACTTGCCCACTTAAAAACTATGAGGAAGCAATGTGCAAGTTTCTACTTGCACAC